TCTGATTTCCCCACTTCTCTTGTCTTCCTCCCTGCAGACTCCTGACCTCCTCTCTTGCCTGTCTTGGCTTTTCTTCCTCTTCCCTCCATCTCTCCCTACTCGCCCGCCACCCCCTCCCCGCCGCGCTTTCTCTCGGCGGACTCCAAATGGAAAACATCTGTTCCCTGGAGCTTTGCGACAGTCCCTTTTATTATTTTTTCTGAGGCATCCTGCTCTAACCGTGTACCCAGAGCTGATCCCAGTCTTCCTGCCATTCCTGTCAAGGCCGAGGCCCCACACTCAAAGTTGGGGAATAGATTCGCTCTTTTTGGGCTATTTGCACCCCCTCTTTGCTGGGAGAGCCTTGCTCTCAGGCTGGTCCTGAGGTGAAGATCTGGGTGAGGGAGGGCCCAGGGCTACGCCTAAGGCCTTTTAGGGAGAGACGTGCTTCTTAGAGACTCTGGAGAGACCTCAGAAAGGAGGGGGGGGCCACCCAGCTAAATGAGCAGAAGCCCCCCAGGAGAGAAGTTAAGGTTGGGCCCTACCTAAAAAGAGCCTACTTTGCCAGCCTTGAGCCCCAGAGAGTTACCAAAACTGCCCCATGAAGAAAATAAGCATCCTCCCCATGGAGCAGACCCTCAGGGCATATGGATGCCCAAAATGAGGGAGAAGGAGGGGTGAGGGGAGGACAAGGGAGAAACGAGAGAGAAGACTGGGGTGTGGGGGTGGGGGACAGAAGGGAGAAGGCCCAGGAGGATAACAGAATCCCAGGGTCTAAAGGGATTTTCGGGTTGGCCTGAGACCCTCCACCGCTGGGACCCAGAGAGTGGCATAATTTGCTTTAGCCGCAAGGGAGTCAAGGCTGTGTGGGCCTGGGCTCCCGACTTCCTGTCTCAGGAGCACTCTCCCTACTAACTCGGGACCCTGGGAGGAGGAAACGACAGGCAGAGAGGCAGGAAGAAGAAAAAGCTGGAGCAAGGGAAGACAGGACATGGAAAGAAGGCACAGAAGGCAAGAGGGAGGGGGGAAGCTGGGAAACGAGAATGTAGGAAGGTAAGAAAAGGAATGGGGAGGAATGAGACAAATGAGACGTAGACAGGCGTGCGGGACCAAGAGTAAGACATGGTTTCCTCCTTCATTATAGTCTCATAACAAATATGATCTTTAGACACAACCCTGGCTGCCCCACTCCAACCCCCAGTCTGCATCACTGACAACTGGAGCAGCTTCCACCTGTAGGGCCACCCAAAGAGCTAGGCACCAGCGCCCAGGCAGTGTGAATCTGTCGTGTGGGAGCTGAGATGCAGGCCAACTTCCTCCGACCCAGGGAAAGCCCAGGCCGCCTGTGAGCCCCTGGACCTCCAGGGCAGGGACCTCTCCCTCCATCCATCTGCCTCTCTCTAGCACGCTGTTCACTGTTTGTTCCCACAGACGTGAGCTGCGGTGAGAGAGGAAGGTGGGCCATCTTGCTCTCCTGGAAAGCCTCTCTAGGCACTCAGGATCCTGGATCATCTATGGGGCCTGGTGCCTCTCCCATTCTCACACAGACCTGCTGACAAAGAGGCAACATTCCTGAAACTCATAAATCCTCTGTGAGGCTTCTCACATCAGACTGGAATGGGAAGGAGACTTGAACAGGGGAGGGGAGGAGGATGAGAGTTGGGAGAGGAAGGACATATTTCCCAACCTAAAAGTGGGTTAACGATAGAACTTTCTGCCAAAACAGACTGGGATGCAGTTTATCTTGAACAAAACCAGGGGAATTAGCTCATTCCAAAATGATAAAGGGGGATATTTTTCCCTTCCTGCAAAACTGCTGCAGCTGGTAGAATCATTAGGTGAGTGGGTGGTAGTGCTGGTGACGATACTCAAGCCTGGGTCAGGTGTGGGGAAGGGTGGTAGTTTGGGAGAAGGTATCGCCCTGGCGATCTGCTCCTGGCCCTTCATTCAATAGGCGCTCGGCACATGCTTGCCAGTGATGATGGCCAGGGGAGGGGAGAGGGCTCATGGGGTGCCAATTGCTCCAGAAGGCTCCCACGCTCAGAATGAAAGACCTAGGACACGTTCTCATGTCCCTTTCCGGCTGTGGCAGCTGTTCACCAGTTTATTCCCCCTTTCCTCTATAATGACAGATGCCCTGATTTTTAATGGGGCATATGGACACCCAGAATAATGATATTTCCCACAGCCCTTTGCAGCTAGGTGTGTGGCCAATGGACTGCGAGGGGGAGTGATGTGTGCGAGTTCCAGGACATGTCCTTACAGGGAGAGGGTGTCTCCATGTCCTACTCTTCCTAGTTATTCCTTAGAATGTGAATGTGGTGGAGAGCCACGCTGGATCACAAGATGAGAGTGATACCTGTGGACAGCAGAGCCAATAAAATGGAAGACGCCTGGGTCCCTGGACCAGTCAAGCCTGCCATCTCTGAACTGTTATGAGAAAATGAAGTCACTGTAGAAGCCACTGCTATTTTGGACTGGTCGCACACACCCAAACCTGACACCTAATGCCACACTGCTAATGCCTAACCCTGACGCGGCACCATGTTCAGAGCACTCAGATTTTGTTCTCAGAGTTCTCTGTAGACTGATTATCTTAGGTAATACTCAGAGAAGACTAATGTGCCAATAATTGATGGGCATGTGTTTATATCAATATTCTCAAATCTAATGACAGGCTTTAGGAAGACCTTTAACCTTCCTCGGAGGTACCAGAACATATCAGCAGCCCTAGTGTAAAGTAACATATCTGAGAAATGCATGCAGGCTTGTAAGATGCAAAAAAAGTTTCATTTGCTGTTGGTCGTAAACAAGTCACAACATTAAAATAAAAAGCCCTGAGAACTCCAGAGTGGGCAACGTACACCTCCAAAACTGGGTCACTATGTTACTGATACATTCCTTGAATTTGGTGAAGCCCCAGCCGGACCCCTCCGAGCCCATACGGATCCATATCTCAGAAGAAGACAGGGGAATCTTTTGCTAAGAGGAGGCTTTTTCTATTATTCCTCTGGATTTTTCAACATTCCTCCTCTTCCTACTTAAGATGCAACAAGCTGACCACAGAGCACAGCCCCCACACATCCTCAGCATCCTGAGGGACCCTGATATAGTAACTAGGGCAATATTTGCATTATTAAAATGCTTCCCTGTCTAGCCTTTCTGTGAATCCTGGTCCAATTTTTTTCCCCTCGGATTCAGACCTGTGGCGGGGATAGTGGGGGCGTGCTGCATACTAATGTGTCCATATGTGAGTGCTGCGGGAAACCTTAGATTCTCATTAAAGCACATTCTAACTCTGACTTGCAAAATCTGCATATGCCAGAAACTGGTTATCTACTTTCGTTCTTTTTCCCATCTCCCCCTTGGGGACTATCGGTACTACCCCTTGGTGGAGAGGGGGCAGATATGAGGATAATCAGAGCTTCACTTGGGCAGATCTCAATCAAGGAGGCATGTTGGCCCGGTGCATTTTTAGGATTCCTCTTATTCTATCACCTTCCTCTTTATTCTGCTGCCGCTGCCATTTTATCTCATTCAGGCACATCTCTGGCCTTGACTCACTCTTTTCACTTTCATCCACCTCTCACACCACCATCAGATTCAACTTCCAGTCACTGCAGTGTGTTACTCCTTGGCATTCCTTAGCCAAGAATCAAAGACACACACGTTGATGGTGCCTCGCTGCCTCTATGACTATGGTGGATGGAACAGAAGCCAAGCACCACTCACTGAGCACCTATTATGCGCCTCACACTACACTAACTGCCATAAACACATTAGCTCACTTTAGATCAGGACAGGCAGGAATGAGCTGGCACCAGAACCCAGCTCTATGTGACTATGAAGCTGCCTCTCCAACACCAACTGACCCTCGAACTCCACAGCGGCAACAGTACCAATTAGCTTTCGAGAGGGACTATCCCCTAAATGGCAACCCCAGTGTTAGCAGCCCTCCGCCCTCAATGCACTCTACCGCCAGATCTCCCTTCTCCTGGGGGCTGCCTCTTCTCTAGCAAGTCTGTGAGCTCTCGGGGTTGGAGTATTAACTAGCTCTACTCAAGAAGAGGCAAGAAGGAGGGATGGGGCCTATTTTGGAGACTAAGACCATCCATCTTTGTGGCCTTTCCTCAAATCCTTTCACACATGTATTTGCTGATAGAGAGCTTCTCCGGGTATGCAGGCAGGCACCCTCCCCATTTGGCAGAGAGGAAACCCATGGCCAGACAGATTGACTTTTCCCGGGTCAAGCAAAGAAGAAATTGCTGGGACTGCAGCTCCATATTGCTGAGTGCCAGGCCTTTCCATGAGAAGTGAAGCCCATGTAAGCTTTGTCAGCAGTCCCCACCCGCCCACACTCCCTTTTCCAGGACAGGACACAGCTCTAAGAGCCTGGTGGCCTGCTGGCAGGTGGGTTGGTGTCACTCACCAGCCTGGAGCCAGATCTGTTCCAGTGTGGTCCACAGCTGCATGGGGCCCTGCTTCAGGACCGAGCTGGGCATGGTCAGCTCTGACATGGCCTCCTCCAGCCGGGAGGCGGCGATGGACGATGCCCGCCGAGAGCCTACAGATCAAGACACGAGAGGGCTGAGCAGCAGAGTCAGAGTGTCACACACTCCAGGCCCCAGGAGAAGCAACTGTGCAGCCTTATGGGGAGAGAGAGGGCATACCGAGACGGCACAAGGTGGCCGCCAAGCAGCTCACAGAGCCATTAGGGACGGGCCCACCTCGTACCCTCACCCACGGGTGGGGAAAGGAGCTTTCAAAGGGGCAATCAGGCAGCGAGCCCACTTCTAGGAGTCTAAAATGAAGGAAGACAATCACAAACGTCAGCAAAGATGCTCATTCTCCCACTGTCTGTAACACCAGAAACAGAAGTGACCCGAATGTCTGACAATAGGGACTGATTAAAAACAAGTTTTATGATCATACAAAACTATGCAGCCGTTCAAATAACGATGTGGAAAGATGTTGCAGTTAGGTGAAAAAAGCGGGTTGAAAAAGGGTATGATCATATTTTTATAAAAAAAAATATGGGCATGGAAAAAAGTCTGAAAGGCCATTTATTAAGGTCTGGGTGGTAAAATTATGGGTGATTTTTCTTCCTTTTGCTATTTTTGCTTTCTGTTTTCACAAGTGCATGTTATTGTTTTTTTATACAGAAATGTCCCATTTGAGGTTATGCTGTGTAGGATCCATGGTGGCAGCTTAGATCAGACCCTGTGACCTTAGGAGAACCTCTCCCTGTGGCAGTTGTGGGTGACGTGGATCCCTTTTCAGGATATATGAGCTGCTGACATTTACAATTCACATGCAGGTGAAATGTGAGCACTTTTTTCTCACTATCTCAGAGGCAATAAAGGCTCCAATAAACTTAGGAGACCTCAGGGCAAACCACAGATGACTTCAGCTTGTAAGGCAAGTGCATATGGAGTCCTTCTACTTTGTTCATGGTTCTTCCCTCTTCAATCGCAAGGGCTCTGTGCCCGCCTTCACCATTTCCTCCTGGAGTCAGCAGCTCCACATGCAGGCTGCACTCCTCAGGTGCACCTCTCAAGTCAGGTGCTGGGCTTGGCACCGGAAATCAACACCAGTGAAGGCACTGGCGCAACTTGGTTCATGTCCACAGAAGTGGAAAAAATGAGCAATGCCACTAAGTACAACTCCTTCGCACTTTCATTCTTGTGACTAATTCTTATGACTTTGAAGAAGGGATTCTACTTTAATCAGGTCCTCAGATAAAAGTTAGCTTGGGCTTAGAGCTGTAAATATAAACTCAGCTCATTCCTTCAATCTACTAGGGACATTATAATGGCAGACTTTGGCCTTGAGTCTTAGCCTAAGGGGAAATGGTTTCTGTGCTCCACACATATCTTTCTACCTAGTCCCTACCCTCTTCATCCCTATTTGGGAGATAGGGCCCCTCCCTTGCCTACCCTAGCCCCAGGGCCTGTAGCCACCAGAGCCAACATGGGCTCTGAAAGATGCCTCAAGGCAGCTCCTTAGCGCCTCAGCACAGACCTCAGAGCAGCGAGGGCAAGGAGTGGGGTGGATTTGGCCAGGCTGGGCAGATGACACTCTCCCTGAGTGTGCTCAGGCTGGGATAGTGACCAGTGGAGCCATGTGGACAGTTGTCTGTAGGACACGTTCTTACCGGAGTCTGCGTCATGGGCATCGGGCAAAGTCAGGTGAATGCCACTCTGCTTCTTCAGTGTAAGGCCCTCACCGAGGCTGCCATCCTTTTCCAGGCCTCTGGAAGGCAAGAGAAGGCGAGGCCCTGGTGAAGTGAAGGGCTGGCAGGGAGGACGAGGTAGCCTCCTGCCAGGCAGGCTCTGGGGCTGAGAGTTCAGGCCCAAGAACAGAGCCGAAGCCAAGACCACTGGGAAGGATGAAGACAACCAGAATGATAGGACAGGTCAGGGCTCAGGCTTGGGATGCTGGAATCTGGCTCACTCCAGAGGCTAAACTGATATGATGCTTGCTACTCCCCATCACTCACACACATACACATGCTGCCTGCTGAGTGCCTGTGGGGCCATCAGCCTCCTTGCCATTCTCTAACATTGCCACATTTCGTGCCCAGGCTACACACTTGTTCATGCTGCAGCTACCAAAATGTTCTCGCTGTTCTTCCCAGTCCAATCCAAACCCCCCATCCTTCAGAACTCAGCCTGAGTACCCCTCATCTGTCTAGAAAGCCTCCTCTGGCTCCCTTGCCCCTCATGGTGGCCTTCCTTTCCTGCTTCCACCAGCATGGACCCCACACCACAGATGCTGAGAATGAGAAACTAAGAAGCTCCCCTTGGCCATGGGAAGGTCTTTTCTACCTTTTGTTGCCTTCACCAATGTCAAGCCGAGGGCCAGGCAAAGAAAAGGCACAGTAAACTGGCTTCCTAGGAAAGCCTGGTCTTTGCAGGCCACCAGAAGTGCTCCCTCCCGGTCCACCCCCAGGGAGGGAAGGCTCAGATGCCACTCTGCCTCAGGCACCCTACCCTGGCTGCCAGGTGGCCCCAGAAGAGCCAAAGGGGAACCCTGGTATGGCAGATGAACAAGCGTGGTGACCCCATTCCCCAGCCTCCCCAATTTTTGACGTCCCTGAAGCTCCCACACTGCGAGGGAAGTTCCTCTGTCTCAGAGTGGGGGGTTGAGGGGAGGCCAGGTCAGAAAGGCCGCACAGTCTGTTGTGCCCTCCCAAGGGTGCACACAGCCCACAGCTACCCCTACCCACTGCCAGGGACGCCGTGGCCCTTGAACCTGCTGACTGGGGCAGCTTCAAGGAGGACCAAGGTGACAGGGCAGGACAGAAAGCAGGCCTAGCCGGGGGCCAGAAGCTTCTTCCCTTCAGAAGGGTGTGAAGATGATGATCCCATAAAGAATATTATCCTAACTCAGGCTCACAGTGGCCTGAAGGTAGGCCTGTGGCCACCACAGCCATCTTTGTGGACATTAAAGGACACCGCCTACAAAAACTGCAGTGGGTCAGGGCTAGTTCCTGTCCTCTCCTACCCTCTTCCCATTCCTGGGAGGCACCTGAGTGTCATGCCAAGAGCCAGAGATACTGGGTTAAAACCACAGGGCAACCACTTCTTATCTGTGTGACCCTCGGCAAAGCCACCTTTCTGGGTCTTAGTTGTCTCATTTTGAAACGACCATGAGAAATGTCCATCTTGTGAGGTTACTGTGAGGAGCACGTGAGACAACACGGGCAGGTGCCCAGCACGTGGTGGCATGGTACATTTCAACAGATGCAGCTTCTTGTCTCATCTGCCCGCCCAGCCCCTGACACGGCCTCTCCTGGGGCTCCAGAGACAGCCCATCTTGGGGTCTTTTGCCACTAGTTCTAAGCCAATATACAGCATTGTTCCTGCCCTAAAGAACCTGACAGCCAGGTGGGAAGAAGAGAGTCGAAGTTGAGCAGTCAGCAAAAATCCAGATGTAGAGGGCTAAGAGGAAGCATCAGAGGCAGGGTGACTAGAGGTGCCAGGAGGAGGGGCACCTGAGAAGGGCCTGAGGGGCAGTGAACAGCAGGAGGCGGGGTAGGGTAGGCTAGTCCCTCAGGCTGTGGATTCTGGCCTTGATCCTGAGCTGCCCCAAACTAGATTTTATAAGCTCCAGTTTCTGCTCTGTGGCTCCAGGTTGATAAAGAATGCTCTCTATTCTCGGGAAAGCCAGGAGGGTATTGGATGCAGGCCTCTGGTCCCAACAATTTGCCTCCAGGGTCGCTGGCCTGGCTGAGCCCTGCTCCACCCTGAAGGTTCCCCAGGAGAAGTACCTTGGGGAGGAGCTCCACCAGGCCCTCGGATCAGAGATGAGTGTGTGGGTGGTGATTTGAAAAGACCCCTAGGCACTGTCCCCACAGCCCACAGCTCTGCTGCCTAGCATGAAGCATAGGCTGGGCCCTATCTGCCCAGAGACAAGACCACCTGGATGAGCAAGCAACCAGCCATCCCACAAATAGGCAGTCCCTGCCAGCCTCTCTCCACAAGGGCAACTAGGTTACGCACCTGCCCATGCAGCCACAGCTGATAGGTTGGAGAAGTGCATCTGAACACAGATCCCCCTCGCACCAGAGTCTGGCCCTCGCCCTCACATCACCCAGCCCCCCAGGTGGTTCCCCATTTCCTCTCTGAAAAGTCCTCTGCCCCAGAGCCTTCTTCTGGCAGCTTCCAACGGCTGGTCCTGATCTACTCTGGAATTTTCCAGGCCCAAAAGTCTGCAAAGAAAGTGACACCCTGCCCTGCCCAAGGGTGTTACTCCACTGGATTACTCTGGGGCCTCCTCTGTAAACGTCACCATTAGAGACATGCCTCTGGAGACTGTGAAAGCCTTCTGAGTGCTCAGAGTCCCTGTGAAAATAGAAGCGCATCCACCACAGTCAGGTTCCCCTGAGGTCTGAGGGAGATGACACTGCCCGCAGACCCAGAGAAGGCGAGGAGGTGGGGTCCAGACCAGGAAGAGGCAGTGTACCGCCCTGCATGAGGCCTCTTTTCCTCTTTGGGCTCCCAGGCTGAACCCTAGCATCTCAGTGGGTTTGAGCAAAGACTTTCTACAGATTCGGCCTGGACATGGCCGTGCTCTGGCCCAGGAAAAACTTGGAGCCCAGGCTGGGGACTATAGCGGAAGCGAGGATTCATCGAGACAGTGGGTAAGTTGGGAGGAGTAGGGGGGCCCTTCAGGAACTCTGCTTCCTTCTCTTCTTTTAGCTTCCAAATGGGACCAGGAAAGAAGTAACAGGTTGCATGGATTGGGATTCAGGAGACCTAGGTTCAAGCCCCAGCATTACCATTTACCGAGCAAGTGGCTCTGGCAAATTATTCAAGGCCCCTGAGTCCTAGTTTCCCTACTGGTGAGAATAAAATCTGATGATATCTAAGATAAAAGCAGCTGATGTGGAAGATAGAGCAGCAAGCCCAGCTCCTGGCTCAGATGCTCACGAATGATTTTTCTTCCTTCTTATTCTTCTGAACTTAAGTCTCCTAAACAGATTCTTTATGTTCTTCACGGAGGATTGCCACAAAGTTAAAATTAGACCAGGGATGTAAAAGGCCCCAGCAGCAGTAAGTCCTACACTCTCATTCAAACATCCTCATCGCCCCCTGCCCACCAGGCATGTGGCCACTCAGCAGTGGGTGGTTGCCAGGCAACCACCTCCCGTCAACCTTCTGGCAAACCCAAGGGACAATGACAGCTACTCACCCCAGCTGAGAGAAGTTGTACAGGGTCTGCCACAGCCTCAGCATTTGTCTGCAGGTCACGAGGGCTTCCTCTGGGCCTTTCAGTACCTGCTCCAGCTTCACCTTGGTGAACATCAGGCTGGGAGGAGGGAGAAGAGTAGTCAGCACACCTGTGAGGGGGCTCCCTTTCCCCCCGGCTCTCCTCTCAGGCTGTGATTCCAAGGGGCTCAGCCCCATCAGAACAGCCCCCATCTACCTACCTTCCAACCTACAGATGGCAGAGTGCCCACGAGTGTGGTGGCCTGGGCCGTACCCCGGGATCACCTGCTGTCTCTGTGCATCAGTTTCTCCATACTCTGTGCCAAAGCACGAAGCACTTTTCTGTATTTCTCATCGTCCATGGCGCTTAGCCACTTGTCCGCGATCATATCCTATCTTGCCCCACCTTCTGAAGCACTGTCAAGTGTGGTTACTAGCCTTGCTTTGTTTGCACGTCCTCGTTATGCTGACATACCCCACAGGCCTGAGATGGAGCCTTGTATAAGAGACAGGGCCAGAAAACAACTCTGAATCAAGGAAAGAGGCTGCTAAGCAAGGAACTGGTAAAATGGTCATTGAAGATCAGAGTTCTGCTTTCCAACTTGCCCACATACAATAGGTGCTCAATTAGCACCTCCTCAACTGAACTGCAAATTTGTTTCCTGACCCTGGATATAGGAGGACATCCATGTTTAACTTTATCAAAGGATTCTTCATTGAGTTTCCTAAAATTGCCAGCTCCCCTCATATATTCATTTGGATTAAAGGTACATGAAGTCCTATTCAGTCACCATTTAGGAACACAGTTACTGTGCAGAGAGCAACCTCAGAATCTCTTTCAACCTAAAAACCAGAAGTCCTCTGATGTAAGAATAGTGTGGGGATGTGGCCCTAAGAGAGGCTGGGAAGAGAGGAAAAGGTCTGGTTCCACCAGGAAGCAGGGCCACAGGAGGGGCCGATGGCTGCCTCCCTCTGCCCAGGACACAGCAGAGATCACTGGAAGGCTGGCTCACCAGGACTGGGGCAGGGTCTGGATACTCTGCTATGTCTGGGGTTGGACCTTTAGTTACTGGGGAGGTGTGGGGACACTTAGGTGGTTTAAGGCAGTGGCTGTTTACCAGTGGGTATGGAAGTATTGTACTTTTTTTTTTTTTTTACCACCAGTACTGCCAGCCACAGGGATGCACACCAGTGGCCTGGGCAGACTGGCTGAGCCACTGAGGCCCAAACAAGGCTATGCCTCCCGCTTTTCACTGGGTGGTGAGCTGTGACGCACTTTTACTCCCGGCATCGCTGTTGGGCAAATCCACATAACCGTCAGGCTCTGAACTTGACCGATGCAGGGTGGTTCTGCCAGTTCTTCTAAGATTGGCACATAGGCCCTCATGGAAGCTGAGTCCTGCATCTAGACAGGGAACATCACTGTGACGTATGGCTGCAGCAGGGGGCGGGCCCCAGACAGGGAGGCGGGGAGTCCACCTGGGAGCTTCCCCTCTGGTCTTCTCCCTCACTTCGGACCCTGCCTCCTCTGTCTTGCATGAGACCTGGGCCTCCAGGCTCATGAAAAACGTTGATGGCCTCGCTGTTCTTTTCTCCTCACACCTTGTTTTTCTTAAATTGTGACTTGTCCGGTAGAGAACGAAGAGGGTAAAATTCGCCCCAGTCCACTTCTCAGAGAAGGGGGTTGGGCAAGTATTATTTTTTTTCTTCACTTTTCCTCAAGCATGCCACGTGCCTTTTCTGCTCCTGCACACAGGGTACCCCCACCCCAGCCTCACATGGCCTCTCCTCTCCATTTGCATCCATCTCCCATGACAGACTTTAGACCCCCCTCAGCAAGCCTTCCCAGACTCCTAGGATGCCCCGCTGGCCTACGAGGTCCCGAGAGCAGGAACCAGTGTCTGTAGCGTGGCATGCACAGGCCTGAGCAGGAACGTGGTCTCAGCACCTTGGGCGGGCAGCTGCTGGGGAGAACTGGTTCTGCCGCCCCTGCTCTCCTTTCCCAGATTCTCCAGTGGGCCAACGCTCCACAAGTACTAGGAGCCTCTGCTTTAGGGACTATGAAGTGGAAGACACAATTCTTGTGTTCAAGGTAACAATTAGTGCTAAAAATGACAAATTACTCAGAAAATCAAGTGCTGTATTTTTGGATCAGAGTCAGTGCCAGAAAAGAAGAGAGAAGGGGTCTTGTTGGGGCTGGTGTTTGATGCAAAGGAGGGTGGGATGGGACATAGTTAGGAGTGGGGGAAAGAGAAGCATGGCGGGGGGACCAGTGGCTGGAACAGCAGGTGCTGGTGAGGAATCAAAGCCTCTGAGGAAGGGGGGCACATCCAGGCTCAGTCCATTCCAAGGCTCCCCTCCCCTCAGGCAGCAGAGTCCCCTGGGCAGGGCTATTTGGGTTGGGCTGGGCTGGTTCCAAGACAGCTTCTGGGTAGACCGGCCCTGCAGCATTTTCCTAACACCCAATCTCCCTAGACAGGCTTCCTCTTCAGCACGCCCCTCTCTGCTAGGGCGCCTCTCCCCATTCCTGTTGCCTGCACCCCCGAGAGCCAGGATGGGGCCATGGCAGACCTGACCAACGCTGTGCCTGGAACAGAAGTGGCCGAAAACCGAGCTGGTGTTACAGTGACTTCTACCAATGCAGGCTGTTATCCTCGCGGCTGCTGACATTCCATTAGCATGAGCGACCCAGAGTGGAATTTCTCAACCCAATCACATCCTTTGAGGGCTGGGCGAGTGTGCCAACAGCTACCCTCTGGTCAGAGCCTTCACTCCCCGGTCCTGGGAGGTTCCACATCAGCTCCTGCGGAGGTTTCCTTGGTCTCGAAGTTCAGCACTGCCAGAGGGGTCTTCTCAGCCAAAAAGCCTACCCCCACTGTCCATGACATCAGTCCAAATGCCTGTGTGCACCACCTTCCACTCCTGCCACCCCTCTGCATGACCTTGGGGACCCGTGTGCTGCTCACACGGGTATTAGCAGTTCCCTGAACTGTAGGACAGGTCCCTGGGCTCAGCCATGCCCTGCTTCATGTTGTCACCCTGTTGGAACTTGCCCTTCCCCCCCAACATCCAGCCAACTCCTAACCAGATGTCACCCTCCATCAGGATGTGGTCATCTGCACACGTGCTGGCCTGCCTCTACCTCACTGCTGAAGTCTCTCTCAACCCTCCTCCCAACCCCCCCACAACAAGAAACAGCAAAAAAGCTCTGCTCCCTTAGAAGGGGCAATTCTGTGGCTCTTCTAAGACCACCAACCCCGCCCCCCCCGCCATACACAGGCCAGTCGGAGCCCAGGGCTCCCACGATGGGTGGCCCATTTCTCCAAACAACAGCATGAAGGCTGGAAGAGCCCTGGTGGGCCACCCTGGCTGGCGGGTGTTACTTTGGGGCCCACGTAAGGGCCACAGCCTCATCAGAATGCTGAGCTTCCTGTGTGGGCCATGGGGAGGCTGCTGGCATTGGGGGCTGGGGGATATGAAAGGTAAGCCCGGCTCCTTAGCCCCTTTAACCAGCCCAGGCCCCGGCATATCTGTTTTATATACTGAATGAATCTAAACTGTCATTTGAAGAAAGGATTCCAAAAGCCCACCATCTTAACCCAGTGGCTCCCATCCTCCTCCTCTGAGAAGTCCTAGTGTGACCACCCTCACCCCTCTCTGAATGGTCCAGACATTAGGCAGCTAGCACTTAATTACAGTATGTTTCTTTTTGCCACATGGCTTATGAGTTTAATAATGAAAATAAACTCATATCAAGCATTTTAAAATTCAGATACTGTGGAAACAGTTTGTGGCCAGTTCTGCCTACAGATGGTAAAGCCATCATTCATCTTGTCCTGTGTGCATGTCCACCTGCAGGACAAGGCCCTGCCTCCGTCCACGTCATTGCCTTCCCAGCTTCCCCAGTACCTGGCACAGAGCTGAGCACACAGTGTCCGCTTTGTACTATGAAAATGTGTGTTGTTACAACCATCCAGCCGTGTTCTAGATCTCACAATACATATTAAATCAGAGCCAATTTCTGATGCCGCCACTTCCCACTTCTGGTTCCTGGCTAGGAGGGAGGACAGGAAGCTGATCACTTGCTGCTCACAACTGCAGAGTGGGCAGGACTCACACAGCCAACAAGCAGTGAGCTGGCTGATTCCATTTTAAGCTGTCCAGAGCAAAGTTGTACAGGGCCTGGGGAGGAACAGGGCGTTCTGGGTATGACATGAAGATGTCTGGCTCCTTGTGACTGGGGGGTCTTCACCCCAGAGAACGGTCACCCAGGCAGAGCCAACAGTAGTACAGCTAAGGAGAGTCTGAGACAGGAAAGCCTGGAATTCTGAAATCTAGTAGCCTTCTCACACCCGGACAAAAGCCATTCTGGGACAGGAATGGCCACATTGCTGTCCTCAGACCCTGCACTGTGACCTCACTCAGAGCGGACAGACACTGGACCAGGAATGAGAAACCTGAGCCAAAGTCCCAGCTCTGTGGCTGCCCAGCTGGGCATGTCACAGGGTCCAGACCTGCAAAATAGCAGCGAGGACTCCTGCCCCATCTGCCTAGGGATCCCACAGATGAACTGCGGTGACCTTTAAGGAACAGCTGAGAACCCACAGGTGCATTCAGTCCTTAAGCACAGGCCAGCCCAAAGCTCAGGGAAGGGACTCCTGCTTTGATACTGCAGGCCTATCAGACCCCTAAAAACAGTTTCTAGGCCGGGAGCCTCTGAAGGCTCTCAGAAAGCCCCTGAGCTGCATGGCCTGTTTGGCAAGGCAGGTGGTCCTCCTCGTGGCTCTTGGGACCTAAGATGGGCATGAGAAAGGAAAAGGACAGAGGGATGGACAGAGCCATAGCAACCTCGGCTGTGACCCCCCTCTTGCAAGCACTTTCCTGTTTTTTTAAGCCGTGGAAGCTCATGTGGAATAAACATTAAGGTCTTTTAAGGCCGCACACCCTGGCCACGCCATTGCATCTGAAGGCAGATGTGAAAGTGAGTGTTCTCTCTGGGGAAGGGGAAGGAGCGAGAGTCAGTGTAAACACACCCTGGGTGCTGTTCCACCCAGGGGTTAAGCTGCTGGGGCTGCAGGGAGGAGAGTCCTGGGTCCCGGCACTCTCCACCGCACCATGCGATGGATGCAGCACATGTGCCTTGGTCCTAGCAGAGGCCCGGCGCAGCCGCAGGCCCACTCTCTGAGAGCTCGCGCCCCCCCAAACCCCATGAATGCCATCAGCACCTTGGCAGCCAAGCCGGGCACCCCATGCCTAGGCTTGGTGCTCCCTCATCCACCGTCCTCACGGCACGCCTCATCTACCACTGCACTCTGGTTAAGGTGGAGACCTGCCACCTCCCCTATCACCTGCACGGTCCAGCATGGGGGCGGGCGAGGAAGGTGC